GTCTTCCCTGCGCTATTCAGCACCATTATGTATGTATGAGAATGCACATTGCTTGTCGAGATTCTATTCGCACCGCATTGTCCATTCAGTCCTTTTTATCACATTGCAGATCCTCGGTTATTACGTACATCACGAATCTGTGCATGCAACAGAATCTTAGAGTGTTTTGTTGGGGATTCCAGGGGTTCTGAGCATTCAGAGGACTTCTGTGGCTTTCGTTTTTAGTAACTGTTGCTTGAATAGCATAGAAATAGGTCGGCAGGTCAGCAGTTATTCATGTTTTCTTCAACGCTTTTCATAGTTCTCGGATTGTTCTTAGCCGAAGCCAGGTAACGGCCCTGGTATTTCAAATCATTTGTATAATTCCATATGGGACGCTGAGCCCAGCTCCCAGCACGTGTTGCTCCCCACGAATAGATTGGAGCATTTGTCTCAAAAAAAAAAAAAAAAAAAGATTTTATTGGAGTGTGAACATTCCATGTTCAATTCTGCATTGGATATCATTTACCAATCAATAAGAGGTGATCATGATGATGATCATCATCAACGCCATCATCATCACCAACATCATCATTGGTTGCAACAGCAGCAGCAGGCACATTACGGTAATGGGGCAAGGTACTTAATCTTCTGGGAAAAGTATGTATGAAAAGCAGGTGTAGTGTGTGCCACATTCAATCATCAGTGCACATGTTACAAAAGGAAGGAGATTGTGCAAGGAAGGAAGATGGTTTGATTGTGAAGCACTTCAAGGGCGTGGATACCAGTCATGCAGGACAGGGAAGGGAGCTTACCTGTCAAGAAGGGCTCTCTTGTCCACATGGTCTGGAATATACTCATCAGCCATTGAGAACACAACCTGCAGAGTCCCAAAAGATGCAGAGAGGTTACAATTCTAAACAGAAACTAAGGAGAAGAAAAACTGAAGAAATGCAGAACGTACTGGAAAATGTGTGTGTGTGTGTGTGTGTGTGTGTGTGTGTGTGTGTGTGTGTGTGTGTGTGTGTGTGTGTGTGTGATTTAGATTTTCTCCACAACAGCCCCAATTCCACCCAGATGAATAGCTTCAGAATCAAAGCAGTCTTTGTCCTATTGCAGACAACGAGAGCATTTGAAATGTCTAACATATTAAAGCAATTTTATAATTAGAGAGTGTTTTGGTTGTCCTTGGGGCACCCCTTTCATTGTTCTTGCAGCTCCCTTTGTACTGTGCCTCCTATGCACAAGGCTACCCACGTTGATTGTGGTTGAGCGGCAGCTGCCCACATCCCCGTGTCCCTTCACGGGAGGCAGAGTAAAAGGGAAGGTATGCTCCTGTGCATTTCTCTTCAGAGCTTCATACTCCTATTCATTTCACTTCAGATCTTCAGCTTATACAGTCTTTGTGTCTGTCCTTCATCTTCATACTTCTGTTCATTTCGTATGTATTTGTTAGTAGCAAAAAGGGAGTGGAGGGGAGGGTGGAGGGTCAGGGATAGAACACGGAGTTCTATAGGAGTATGGGGCAGGGCAGGTAGGGGCAATGGGAAGGAAAGAAATATGTGGAGGGCAGAATAGAGTATGGCATGCAAAGAGCAGGGGAGAGGTGTATGATGAGCTTCACAGATTTCTAAATATTCACCGCTGAAACAGACTAGCAAAGAAAACTATGGCGAGTGTCCAACCCTACAGACCGGACAGAACCCGTTCGGGTGTGGGCTATGGAAGCACCACGTCCAATTTTCGCAGTCACAGTTGCTGCATCGAATGGCACGGCGCAGACAGATGTCACAGGCTACGTGGCTCGTACATGCTAGGAACACAGAGGCACGTCGACCGCAATTATAGAGGCATTGCCTTTCCAGCTCCTGTCTACAAATTGGACATGACATGTCGGGGTGCCGCACATGAGTACAGTACTGACTGTCATCGTACGTATGAAAGCAAAAACTCGCATGGACTATCCCTTCATAATCGTCACGGCACAAGGCATGCGAACCACATGCTAGGTGGATCTCCGGCGGGTCATCACAAAGTGGCATGGTGCATCTTTCTTGGGCTTCCTCAGAATGTATTCCTTCCCTATGGGCAGACAATGACAGGGAGGATCAGTCCGACGCAAGGGCGTGTGTGTGTGTGTGTGTGTGTGTGTGTGTGTGTGTGTGTGTGTGTGTGTGTGTGTGTGTGTGCC